GGGGTAACCGACGCCAGCCTCTCCGGCGACCTTTGCGAGCCGGTAATTTTCTTAATTTTCCTCCGAAATTTCCTCAAATTTAGGTGAATTTTTTGTATTTTTTTTATTTTTATTTCCAGACAACCTTAAATGAGCGGATAATTTGTAAAATCTGGCGTTATTTTGAAGGGAAAACGAAACAAAATCTCATAGTAATTTTTAACGCGCTATCTTTTAATTCATTTCATTTAAATTCCGCGGCGATATATATAGAATTCGAAATTATCATCTCATCTGTTTTTATCCGATTCGTTGACGTTAGTTTCTGTTTTTTTTTAAATTAATTAATTATTTTTATTTTTACCGTTTCCGTTTACAGTACGATGAATTAGCGGAACTGGAATGGCTTTCCAATTTCGTCGAAGAATCGTTCTCGAGCGAAGACCTCCTAAAGCTCCAGCTCATCTCAGGAGTCAAAGCGGGTTCGAATTTGGTTTCGGGTTCAAACTCATCCTCATCCGAAACCCGCTCCATCTCAATCCCGTCCTCGGCCGGTAACCTCACCGCGCAAAACCCGTCCTCCTTCCTTCCAGAAGCTTCCATCGTCCCAGGCAAAGCCCGTAGCAAGCGCTCCCGCGCCGCCCCCAACAACTGGTCCTCTCGCCTCCTCGTCCTCTCCGCGTCACCAACGGACTCGGATTCAATTCTCTTAAACCCGAACCCGGTAAGAAAGGCCCCAAAGCCTATAAAGAGAAAGGAAATGCCTCATCTAATGGACGGGAGAAAATGCCTTCACTGTGCAACCGATAAAACTCCCCAGTGGCGAACTGGGCCGATGGGGCCCAAGACCCTGTGCAACGCCTGTGGAGTCCGCTACAAATCGGGCCGGGAGGAGGTTTTGATCCATCACCAGCTCGGGCCTGATTTTAGGCAGCTTATATGAGTTTTTTCGGTTAACGTTGAAAGAGGTTTAGGAAGTTGCGGAGGTCTTGATTAGATGAGGATTAATTAGGTGAGTTTTAGAGACTAATCAGGTTTTTAGAGCGAGCTTAAAGTTTCCCCTTCTTCCTTCGTTTTGAGTTTTGAAGAAGCAGTTAAATTTTAGTTTTCTTTATAGATAGTTTAGGGGTAAAATAAAAACCAAAAAAAAAAATGTAATTTTGTAGCAATTTAAACAGTTTTGCTGTTTATTAATTGTACCTTGGTTTCTTTTATTAGAGTTTATTTTTTCCCTCTCTCGTCGTTTGTTGTGAATGTGATTTTGATCACAAAGGTAATGTGGAGTAAATGTTTAAAGTTGAACTTTAAATTAGCACAAACTACGTACAGAAAGCGGTGATACATATTAAGATAAACATTTAATTATAATTACAAACTGAATAATAGCCGTAAATAAATTAGTGGAATAATCAATTTTGTCAATTTAGTATCAAAATTGAAAGGAGCGTGGCATTCTGATTCTCATTCCGCTCCATGGGATATTTTCCCCCAAGGCTGCGCTCGATATGGTATATGGGCCCCGCTCATCTAGATGACGTGGCAGAAATAATCATCGGACGATCCGCGTTCGTACGCCGGTTACGCCACCGGTACGGTGACAGGACCTCGCGATAAGTTACTCCACCCCATGCCACGTCACGTGGGCTAGAGATATAATAGTCGAAATAAACAAATCAATATTTTAACAGGGTCTAAAATAAATTAATAAAAGCCCTAAATTCGTGAGCGATAAGTTACTCCACCCCATGCCACGTCACGTGGGCTAGAGATATAATAGTCGAAATAAACAAATCAATATTTTAACAGGGTCTAAAATAAATTAATAAAAGCCCTAAATTCGTGATTGGGGGTTTAATGATAAAATAAGTGAGAGGTCACAAGCTCTCACTACTTCGGGAGGAGGGGGAACGTGGGTTAGCACAAAGCGTGAGCGTGAGCGCATGTGCTTAGATTTGATCATTAAATTGCAAGCCTTTTAGTTTGGGGTATTTTTTTATTGGGTTTGTCAACTGACCTTGGATTGAAGGCCTCAAAATTAATTTATGCGCTTTGAGTTTTATTGTTTTTCTTCTTTAGGGAATAATATTCCATGTTGACAAAGTGATACGTGAGTTGCCGTTGAGTTTGAGAAAATAATTAATTTACTATGGCTTTTTTTTTTAATTATCAAAGGAAATTCACCAGAAATCAACATTTTTTTATTTTTCGTTTTTTTCTATAAGAAATCAATATGTTAGTGCTCTTGCGAAAACAATTTATTGCTTTTGGAATCAATTGTGGTAAATGTTTTTAAAGTTCTTTAGTTAACTAAAAGAACATATATGATACTTCGAATTTGCCTTTTTATTGCCTACTTACTGCATGTGAGAGTTCTATACTTTGATAATCTAGTCTGGAATCGAACTCATGATAGGGGGAGCATATTGAAACATCGCAACCATCTAGATCACCCACAGTGGGCTATGAGAGAGTTTTCTTTAATAAAGTTTTTTTAAAAGATAAAAA